TCTGGAACCAACTTCCAAGGGAGGTGGTGCAGGCTCCTACCCTGGGGGTTTTTAAGAAGAGGTTAGATGAACACCTTGCTGGGGTCGTTTGACCCCAGTACTCTTTCCTGCCATGGCAGGGGGTCAGACTAGATGATCTTCTCAGGTCCCTTCCGACCCTAGAAACTATGAAACTATGAAATGTCTGTTACATTAGGATGTGTACAGATAGCAAAAAGACTAATGTTACATGCCCAAAACACTTTGTGTTAGCCACGGGTGTTTTAAGTGGTGGGGACTCTATTCCTTTCATCTTTCCTTGAAAGGGTAATTGCTTACTCCTAATATTCTTTCTAAGGTGGTTATTCATAAAGGTAGGTGTGGAGCCCTTCTATATTTTTCTCCCTGGCTTGGGAAGCAAATTCCATATATTTTTTGCACTCAGATCCAAACAAAATTTCCCAAGACAAAAAAAACAGGCACTGCTTTAGCCCAGCTGCATTCCCTCTGCCAGATATCAAAGGTTTATTGTATTAAAATTAATTATCAAAGAAAAAAGTGTTGGACAAATTAAATACAGGAGTTGCTACTAGCTCCCCCTACATTTCTGATTGCTCTGATTCTAATCATTATTTGCATCTTGAAAATGTTCAAAGGTTCCACTCAAGATTGGTTTTGACTTGGCCCCTCAATCGCAGCCACAGAAAAGAAGGGTGACATTGGGTGTGGAAAATAAATTACTTACACCCTCTAAAACGTTATATAAGTCACTGCTCATATATATTTGTGGAGGAAAAAGGTAAACAAGACTTTTTCAGAAGCATTAAATAATTGAAGATAGATAGTGGTTGGCAACTCTTAGTGATGATGATGAAGAAGAGGCTGTCCAAACCTCAACTGGCAGTCTTGATTCATGTATTTTATGTAGAGGCCTAGAGCTTTAAGTTCTGCAGTGAAGCTTGTGAGGAACTGGGGGCAACCTGAAAGGCTTCCTGATGGTTTATGATAGAGGTACTATTGATCATCTGGTTTCTGTATGTGTAAGTTTTAATGCATATCACATGTGCCAAGTCCCTTTGGACAAGCAGCTCCACTAGGTTTCATTCTAATTAAAGAATTTAGAAGCCCAGAGCTAAGAAGCTTTAAAAATCTCAGCTTTCCTCAGCCATCAGCTGGGAGGCAAGGGAAGGTGGTGCCCACAAAAGAACCTCTTCCAAGCTCTGCCTACAAAAAAACCCCCTACCTCTACATGAGTGTTCAAACTGAGAAATTATTTCCAGTGGATCATACAGAACATGAGCTTGCGGCTGTCTTACCTTTTAGAGTTTGGCCTCTTCCAAAACATATAAGATGATGATGCTTTCCAAATGCTACTGCCTAATGATACCAGACAGTCCCAGTAAATAATCCAATTCTGCAACCCTGCTCCCCTTGCTCACATAAAAAATGAAATAGCTAACAATGTCATCACCTAAATTACCATGCAGAAGCATCTGAGTAAGGTGAACAGTGCAATTCACACCTCTCGGACTTACTGTTCGAGGCTTTCTGCAGTTTCATCTCCCCATCATTTACACTCAGCTCTTATCTTTGAGGATTCCTTTATATCCATGAGGACTAGACTGCCTTTTTCCTTCCTTTATACCTTCTAGGAATACTGTGTAACTGTAGCTCTGTGATTGAGAGAAGGCCTAAGTAATGATATATGAACCTTATATCCAGTCCTGAAAGCTCAGCTCTCCTGTCAGACAGTATGCCCAGGATGAACAGAGCTGTGTGTGTCAATCAGTTCTTAGATTTTCTATGGCATTAAACCCTTAGGCTGAGGATTTCAAAGCTGTCTAAGAGAACAGGAGGCCTAATTCCTATAAAATTTAGGAAATTGGACTTTCAAATCCCCCAGATGTCCTTGAAAATCTCAGCCATCATATCTCTCATTTTCCCCAATTTGCTAAGCAAATTAGGTTGGCAGCTGCCTCCCAATGTCTTTGCCAGCCTGAGAGTTCATTTATTATCTGGCATGTGTTTGACACCCCTGTCTTGGTCCCAATGTGCTGTGGAGCAGAAATACTGACACTCTAGCAGCTGAAAACTGGCACAGTTTAGCTTTGAAGTCTTTGGTAGGTGGTGTGTGGAAAATCAGAAAAATAATTAGTTATGAGGCAAAACTAAAAGGAAAGGTCTCATGGAAACAGTCCAGAAGCATCCACAGATCAGGGCTGTGTCATAGGAACCTGGAAAATGGAGCATACTCCTGAAAATATAGGGGAAACAGGTGACAAGCTTACGCAAAGGAAGAGTTTCTATTATGGTGAGACCTATATGTATGTATTCATTGCTGGTGGTGGTACCAATGCATTCTTTATTCTCTGGTCTGACTTGATCACTGTTTGCTGAGTTCAAAGTTGTATTTTGGCAACTGGTTTTCATTCTGCAGTGGACAGGTTGAGACTTGATTATTTAAGAAAGCAAGTGGCAGCTTAATTTCTATCTAGGAAATCTATAATCATCTACAATGTTGTACCTCTTTTTATCCAAACCAGATAACTTGCGGTGTAAGGAGACAACACTGACAGCATGTTTCTTAACTGATTCAACCCATTCACTGTGATTTTCTGATTAATAAACCACACCTGACAGCTCTACCTAATCAGAAAAGGGTTCTTTTTACCCAAAGAGCTTCTCTGCAGCTCAAAGGCTAAACTCATTTATCTCCTTCTAAAATGTCCTGAAAGACAATTGGTTGTCTTTAAAATGATTTCTGAACTATTCAGCCTTCTGGAGCTTCATTGCCAGCTAATTCTTGCTTGTCCACCTCTCTATCTGTGTTTCTGAAGTGCCTGCCTCTGCAGTCACTATAAATTGCACAATATATCCATCTTCCACTTTCAGCACTATGATTTTTCCCCATGTCCAAAACACCCTCTCTATCCTATCTGGCATGTCCTATTTGTATCCTACTGATCAGCCTTATTTGAAATTTCATAGATTCACAGACATTAGGGCTGGAAGGGACCTTGGAAGATCATTGAGTCCAGCCCTCTGCCTCAGGAGCAGGAAGTCAGCTGGGGTCATAGGATTCCAGCAAGAAAAATATCCAGGTTTCTCTTGAAGGCATTCAAAGTAGGTGCTTGAACCACCTTGGGCGGCAGGCCATTTTAGACCTTGGGGGCTTGGACAGTAAAAAAGTTCTTCCTTATGTCCAGCCTAAAATGGTCTTGCAGGAGTTTATAACC